TAACTGTGCTTGCTTTCTTGTTATGGTAAAATAGTGTAATCAAATGAAGTAGCTTAATGGTGACCCTGAGGTGGCTGCACTGCGCTTTTCCATAGGATAAGGTGTTGTGAAAGACAGGTTACCGAGCCCCGTGGGAGCTGGCTTCTGTTTGAGGGATGGCAAAGAAATACCAGCATGGCCCTCTCTCAAGGGCTCAGGGGCTTTGCATGGGATTTGAAGAGGGGATTGTCGCTACCTTGAGTCAGGGTAGCTTTGTGAACTGTGACTGTCATGCTGTTGGGCCCACGTGTGTTTATCTGCTCCTCTTACTGTCATAAGGACCCGTGGACCTTGGTGGTACCATGGGGTGGCAGTTCTGCCTCCCTCATTTTTGCCTTGACAAGGGCCCAGGCATCCTGGGGCTGGACCTAGTAATCCTCAGGTTTTCCCTCACAATGCATTGAAAAATCTAGTTATGCTGTAGAATGTTTATTCTGAATTACCCAAATACTTCTTGTTTATGCGATTTATTTTACTACTGAGTTACTGCACCCTACATGTTAGATCCAAGTATTTTATTAAAATATTTTTTATCAGGAAACCTCAGCCTGGACTAGATACCTCCTGTTCCATCACCCACTGTGCTCTGGCCTGGCTTCCAGCCAGCACTGGGGATGGGGTCACTGGCCAAGCAGAGGAAGGGTGAGGCCAAGGAAGGTCGTGGCACACCGTGACACAGGCCGAGTGTGGGTGGAGGAATGGAACAGGCGGGTGCGTGCACTAGGCTCTAGTCGGTCCTGGTGTGTGCTCTGCCACCCAGGGAGCAGTGGGTATGGATGGCGCATCCCATGCCTTGTAAGCAGACACAGTGAAGATGAGGACGGACAGACTGAGCACTGATGGTGAATCATTGAGTGACCGGATAGCAGTCTCTGGGCAGACTCTACCTGTGCAAAGTGAAGATAGAATTTCTGCTTTTGCTTCAGAAGCATTTACCATCCTCATGCTGTGGAAAAGTCATCTGCGAGGAGCCTACATTGGGAATTCCCTGAAGCAGAGTCAGAGCCAGCACTCTCCTGGCAGGATCCCTGAAACGTCCATTCGGATGTGATGGGGACTTTGTGTTGCACTGAACACTTTCTTATGCCTCCTGTGTGACTGCCTTTTGCTTAGTTTTTTTTATTGGTATGTGATCACAGTACACAACGATTATATTCATCAGAGATAGTTGGTGGATCTGCATGATAGACTTTTCCTCGTTGTGGTAGAAAAACAAGAGTAAAGAAAGGAAAGAACAAAAAGGCCTTTATTGCTGGCATGGGAGGGCTGCAGTGGGGCGCAAGATCCCTTCAGGGCAGACAAAGAAACCTGGAGCTTTTATTCAGTTTTTGGGGGGTGGAGTTCGAAGGGGTGGGCAGAGTGACATTTTGACAGTTATTTGAGGGATTGCTGATGTGTGCACAAGTGGGAAGTTCACTTTTTGGCTTTGCAAGAAGAACGTGGAAGTCAGTTTTGAAGTGAGGTACGGTCCAGTGCTATGTTGGGCAGGCACCATGCTAAGCCTAGCAGTGCTCCACAGGAGCGGAATCCATTATTCCCATCTTTTGGGTGTTAGAGGCAGCCACTCTTAAACTGCTTCCTGCTGACTGGGGTGACATGATGGGCATTGAAGTAGTCATTGTGATGACAGGTTGGACCCGTATAGAATCTGGTACCAGGGGTTCCCTTAGGACAAGGAGTTACCTTGTTATAAAGGCCCACAACCTGGATTGAAGAAATCTTGAGAATAGTTTAAACAGACAAGGAGCTATAATCAAAAAATAACAAGTAGTATGAGAGGTCCTTCCAGGGGAAGAAGCTAGGAGGAAAGTGTTCCCTTTTCTATAAGAACAGCAATCGGACTTTTTTGCAGATATTATCGTAATGTATTTTTAATTGCCCATAACAGTTGTTAATTACTGGGATAATTGGAAACTGCCTGAAGAGGTTAAACTTGGAGCCCTTTTTATATTTAACTTATACACATTTTTATATCCTTTGATTATATTTTATACTGGATGTTTAAGACCAAGTTAAATTGAGACCTGTGTTAATTAAAACTAACCTCTTGCTATCTATCAAGGTCAGGTAAGTCTCCTCAGGATTTGTCTTGGAACCATGTGTGGAGCCTCTCAGTTCTTGACAGTGTCAGCCATCAGGATGGTCAAGCAATGAGCCATTGCTTGACCAATTTTGTTTCTGTGAAAACTTGGGGGAATTTTCTCCTGGTGACTCTCCTTAGGCACACTATATATTGTGTCACACTTGTTTGTAGTCCCATAATCTCCTTGATCACAAGACCCATGGAGATAAGGAATGTCATTGCAGAGGTTCTCATATCCTGGATCTTCAGTGACCTCAGAGGGCTGCAACCAAAATATTGGTTGTCTCCTAGCCCACTCATCTTTTTAATTTTTGGTCTGCAAATATCTATTGTTGAACATCCAGAAGTAAAGATTGGTAATATTATAGTGTAATAAGGCAGCATGTTTAGCATTATTACCTTATCTGAATATCAGGCTCCTTAGAACATAAAATAGCAACCAATATTTCTATCAATCATCCATGTCCTAATACTTAAACCCATGGAAAATGTTAACAGTTACATAGTTTTCACAGAAAATTTGAAATAAAACCTATACATAATATATGTCATGCTACAGCATGACAATTATGACGCTTTGTGTCAATCTGAATTTGCATTTTGACCTAAGATACCCCTTTTAGTCGATCATCCCTATCTAGCACATAAGCTTTCACCTGACTGGTTTATCTTTAGTCGAATGTGCATGGAGTAAGTTTTTGTTACAGGCAGAGGTCTGAATCTGAAACAATTTTGTTAAACAATCTCTGTTTTACATTTTTGGAAGGAAGACCTGTATAAGTGGAAGCATGAATACATTAATACACTGTAAGGTTAATAACAATCGATCGTTTCATGTGAAACCTTTGTATGAGAGCATATTTAAATCAAAAAAATTATTGTATGAATTCTTTTGACAATGACCGATGTGAACATAATAGAATAATGTGTTTTTGAATTTTAGTTGGGATGTCTCCCATAAGCTATGGAGATCATTGGAGCCTCTGATCAATGAATAAGAACTGGTAAAATGTTACCAAGTAGCCAAGTTCTGAATCATCAACTCCACAGAAGTCCTATCCGATAATGCCTTTCATCCTATAGGATTTTAATTGTCTTAATAATTTCTTAGCGACTTATGAAAAATCCAGACACCACATTTAGCATACTGTTTTTAAACAATGAGAGACTGTTACATCACGAAACATAAATGACAGTATTATCAAATTTACATAACCAATTATAGCATCATTTTGTTGACCTGGTTACTCAGGTGGAAGCAGGGTTTTAGACATATAACCCATATTAAATTTTGAACCATTGATCCAAATATGGGAAAGGAAAAAATTGTTGAGCTTAAGTAAAAAACAATTGTTCAAGGATATGACAAATAGATATAGACAATCTGTACAAGACATAGAAACACACACAATTTTTTGTTTTGGTATTTGTTTTTTAGTACCAGGGGTGGAACTCATAACCTCATGTCCTTCTGCTTGACAGGCAGGCACTTAAGCAGCTATAAATCCACAGTCCAGAACATACACAGTTTAACATACAAACACAATCAGCGTGCACCCAAATATATTTGGCCTATTTGATTTCTCATAACTTTTATAAGTTGTACAATGGTAAATGTAGACTAGGGAGAACCTTTTTGCAAGCCATTTAACAGAGACCTCTTGAAATAACAACCAAAAGGAACACGTTTTATACCTGTGAAAGAAAAGATAGTAGCAAAGCAAAGACAGCTATTAGGAAGTCATAGGAGTTTACCCTGAATTCAAGCTCTTTGACAGAATGACACGGGTTGGTAGCTAAGGACCTCAGTGCTGTGAGACACGGGAAAAGGCAGAGAGAGAAAAAAGGACGTAAACATGGACCAAGTCCCCAGTGCCTGTCACCTCACAGACAGGAGGGAGAGGTTGGCTGAGTGACTCTTTGAAGCAGGCTGGGGTGGAGATAGCAGCAGCCATGCAGAGCTGGCAGGTGGTGGCAAGCAGGAGGGGACACAGAGGCTGGGAGGGGTCAGAAGGCAGTGGAGGCTGGAGGAGTGAGTTGGGGTGTGATGGGCAGGTGGGGAAATGGCCAGAGCAGGAGGAGACACAAGGCGATGGCGAGGGGCGGAGAAGATGGCAACAGAGAAAAGCAGGAAGTTTCTTCGGGATATGGCAGAGGTCGATGGTGTGGAGCAGCCCAAAGAGCTGGGGCCACCCCATATGCTGAAGGAGGGAGGGACATGCCCTGAGAGCAAAACAGCCTCTACATGGGGTTGCCACTATGATTGCAGAAGTCATCCAGTTTGCAGAGGGTGGCCTAGTGTATGTCACCCCCTCTGGCCAGTGGTGGACATTATGGATACAGTGGCCAGCTGTCTGGCAGGAAATGTGTGTTTTGGGGAGTGGGAAGAAGTATTTCCCATTGTGACCAAATGAGAGGTGAGCTGGATGGAGGCTCCAAAAACTGAGCCACAATCCCTTAGAGTCATCACCCTTCTCAGGCTTGTGGGAGAGAGAAATACTCAGTAGACCCCAACACCTGCACCCGCGAGTTGTCACTTAGGGAAAAAGGGGTGCAGGTCCTGAAGAATGTGGGGGAAATCCTGACATGAGCCCATGAGTTACAAGACAAGCACCCCAAAGCACGAAGTGCCTCCCTGTGAGAAAGAGGTGGTTTGGTATTGGATGGAGGCTAGCAATGGCAGCTGCAGAGATGAGAGAAAGAGGAAAAAAAGGGAAGAGAAAAAGCAGAGAAAGAGCTCATTGATGGGGAGCTCCAACGGGGACTTGTGCCCAGGAGCCACCCTGCCTGTCAGTCTGAGTTATGGCACCAAAAATGATAGATTTTTCCTCTCACGGCACAAAACAAGACCAAAGAAAGGAAAACAGGAAAAGGCCTTTATTGCAGGTACGGGAGGGCTGCAGGAGAGTGCAAGGTCCCCTCTGCTCAAACAGAGAAGCCCTGGGCTTTTCTTTAGTTTGACAGGTGGAGTTGAAGGGGTGGGCAGGGAGAGGTTGAGACAGCTGACTTGGGGATGTTGGCTTGTGCAAGAGAAGCAGGGATTTCAATTTTCACATTTGCAAGAAGAATGTGGGAGTCAGTCTTGAAGGGAGGCACTGTCCAGGGCCATATTGGCCAGGCTCATTGCAGAGCCTGGCAGAGCTTCACACAGGCAGAACCCATCATGTAGCACATCTCAGTCGTTTTTATGTTCTCCCCTTCCATCTCAGTCCCCTTGAGCTCAGGGAGCTCCGAGCTGCCTACATTCCCATAGCTTTGGATTGATTTTTATATTCACTCATTGTTGCCAGCTGTGGTGGTGCACACCTGTAATCCCAGACTTGGGAGGCCTAGGCAGGAGGATCTCCATGAGTTCAAGGCCAGCCGTTGCTAGATAACCAAGTTCAAGGACAGCCTGCATTATACAGCAAGACATTGTCTCAAACAACAAACAATCAAAAAACAACACCTGAAAGAAAAAAGAAAAATAACTTACTGCAGGGTTTGTTTACATTGTGGTTGGATTTGGGGGTTGCTTTTTTCAATGATGCTATCCCATAGGTTGAGGCTGAGTTTAGACACCAAACTAATCTTAACCATCCTGCTGGGGACACTGCAGTACCAAATGCAGACCCCAATTGGGATTAGCAAGGAGAACATGGCTCACAACATATGAACGACCATCTGCATTATTGTAGGCCTAACCCAAATTTCTCCCAAAGTAACTAGCTTATATAATTTTATAATTCAAAATCACACTCAACACACTGAGGGAAACCCTGTGGAATTTCTTTCTTATCTTACAGTTACTCTAACCAAATACACTAATTTTAACCCCCAATCTGCTGAGGGAATCACCCTCAACCCCCCTAATTATTACCAACCTACATGTGACATCCAAACTACAAAAAAACACATTTTGGCCCCCTAATGCCCACAAAGAGATCTTCTCAATCTGACCTTTCATGTCTTCAATAATAGATAGGACCAACCACAACAAGATAATCTTGAGAAGACTAATATTGTATGCCTACTTTTGGGGGCAGCACTCAAAGCTTCTGGGAAACATAAATCCAAACAAAATGGTGCCACCATAGCAACCTCTACACCATGCTTCATGCACAGGAAAGAAGGATGCTGGGCATGAGCCTGTCCCAAACCGTGGCCACCACCAAGACCTTGTCTCCTCTGCAACCAGGAGGGTCACTGGAACTACAACTGCCCTGTCTGCCAGAGAGCAGGTAAGTCATCAAACTGCCTACCCTCACAGGAGATCTCACTGCCACCACCACTGGACTCTTCCTTAGCTGTTCTACTCAGTCTCACCACTGAAGAGGACTGATGGGGATTGATGGGTCCATCAAGGTATCTCTCACAACCCCAACTTTCACTGAATATCTTAGGTAAGACACTCTCCTTCCTTATTCACACAGGGGCTGGTTACAGTATTCTTCCTGAGTTCGTTTGGTTCCTGTACCCAATCCATGATGTCCGCTGTAGGTGTTGAGGGAAAACCTGCACAACCCCTCCGGACAGGCCCCATCCCCTCCTGATTCCAAACCTTTCTTCCCCCATAATTTACTTATAATTCCAAACTGACTAGAACCCCTATTATGCAGAGATATCCTCCAAAAGTTCAGCTTCTGTTTCACTTCCTCCCTTTTCACAGCTCTCACTTTTTTGACTCAACCAACCTGTGCTGTTGCTACCATAAGCCGTGTTCCCCCTCCTTTATCAATCCTAAAGTTTGGGATACCACCAGCCCATGCCGCTACATGCTATTGATGCCACTCCTGTGCTAATTCATCTCAGAGAGCCTTCAAACTTTCTGTGCAATCACCAATATCCAACAGCCCCCAAAAATCCACAGGGACTCAAACCTATGATCTCACACCTATCAACCCGTGGCTTTCAAGTTTGCTTTTTTTTTTCTTTATTTCTTTTTCCTTTTTCCCTTTCCCTGGTACCAGGGATTGAACTCATGACCTCCTGCTTGCAAGGCAGGTGCTTATGCTGCTGAGCTAAATCCCCAGCCCCAACCCATGGCTTTCTTAAACCAAAACACACAGTCAGCATTCTTCATTCCCAAGCTGCCATCTGACAGAAAAGAAGCCTGATCAGTACTCAAAGAATCCCTATCACAAGTGCACCCTTTATCCTCAAACTACTAGAGGCAGCACAACTCTCAAAACAGGTAGCAGTCATTCCCTGCAGGGGACACCAAACATCCTCAGATCCTGTTTCTCAGGGTAATATCTTTGCTGGCACACAGGCCAAGTTGAATGCACCATAGCCATATATCCTTCTCATCTTCTCTCCCTCATCCCAAATATCCTGCCACCACCTCAATATTCACCTGCACAGCTACAATTAATCCATAAATCTACCTATAGCCTAAACACTCAGGGATGGATTTTCCCAGGACCGAAACTTCTCCTTTCAGAACAGCAGGCCTTAAACTTCATCACCTGCCCACACAACTGCTTTCGTGTAGGTACCCAGACTCTATATAAACTTCCATCTCTGATCACTACCCACCCCTCTTTAAAAACCCTCATGTGCCAAGCCATGCACAATTGCCGTCTCTGTGCCAAGACACCTCCTCAGGGATATTTACCTTCTCCTTTCCCAATTCACCAACTTTGTGGACACACTCCAGGCAAAGACTGGAAGATAGATTTTACACACCTCCCTCATCATGAGACCTCCAAATACCTTCTTACCTTTGTCTGCACTTTCTTGGGGTGAATAGAAGCCTTCCCAATGTCTGACAGACTGCAGAAATAGTTTCTAGAATTGATATACAAGAGAGTATCTGCCATTTGGCTTACCTCAAACTACCCAATCAGACAACAGATCACCTTTTCTCATTCAGATTACTCAATAGTTATCCTTGAAACTACACATCACTTGGAATCTACACAGACCAAACCACCCACAATCCTCAGGAAAAGCAGAAAAAGCAAACAGTCTTCTAAAGACACACCTCGCAAAACTCATCCTAGAACTACATCTACCTTGGCCTGAACCTTTTCCCTTAGGGCTAATTGTCTTCAGAGTGGCCACTTCCTTCAATGTCCACTTTCCTGAGTCCTTTTGAACTCATGTATGGGTATCGTCTTCCTGCTTCAGTATAGGGCCTCTTCCCACCTAAGGTGCAATGGCCGGTGGGGGTCCATGGCATTCAGCAGGGGTGGTGGTGCTTTGGTGGGGTAGAGGTAGGTTGGGAGTCCTTGGAAAACCCAGAACCAGTGTGTGTGCTGAATGGATGTCTGCGGGGCTGGCAGATGATTTTACTCACAGGCACGGTGCCTCAAGATTGGTGGGCCAGTCACTCTCCAGAGGGGATCTTCAGAGTCCCTCGGTGGGGTGCACAGGCCTTCTATCTGCTCTCTTGGCATGGGGCTGGCTTCCCTTGCCCTCAGTGAGCTGGCAAGAATGCTGCAGGAATGCAGCATCCCTGAGCTTGGAGGAGGAGAGATAGAGGGAAGGGGCTGGTACACCAAGAGTCTGTCCCAGGAGCCCAGCCACCACGCTGTGTGTCCTGCACTGGGTCTATTTGACATGTGCTCTCACACTGGCTGCTCTCCAGAAGGATGACAGAAATCGTGTGGATCCGCTGCATGGCTCTGCTCCCTGCTTTGAGTGATTCACATGTTAGGTGTGATCTATAGGGACTGCCTTTTCTGATTTGGGATGTAAGAGTATCTGCAGCTCAGTGACTCTTCTCTGACTAGATCTGATGTGACTCTTCTAGGCAGTTAGGTGGGATCTCCATTTTGGTTATTTTTATTCATGAGTTCACTAATCTTTTCTTCTGGCTTATTCTTTCTTTTCTTTTTTGAGACAGGGTTTTGCTCTGTAATTCAAACTGGCCTTGAACTCACTATGTACTCAGGGCTGGCCTTCAACTCAGAGCAATCTTCCTGCCTGAACCTCCAGAGTGCTGGGATGACATGCATGTGCCACCACATACAGCTTTGGCCATATCCTTTCTCTAAAATGATACATATTTCTTAGGACATGATTCTCAGATCTAGGACTTCTGTTTGATTCTTCTTTACACTTTGCCCTTTCTGCTTTGATTCTCAAGATCTTTCTTTTATTATTATATCTTTGAGCATATCTATAATAAATATTTTTCAATGGTCTAGATTGTTTCAGTATCTGAGAAAACTTTTCCTCTCTCTTTAATCTTGCTTCTTTGCTCTTTATTTTCTTACCAGTTACCCCAAGGACTTCACGAGGGGCCATATCAGCAGCTGATTTTAAATTTTTGATTCTGAGACAAGGTCTCAGGAAGTCACTAAATTGCAAGGCTAGACATGAACTTTCAATCCTCTGCCTCAGCTACTGTGACACTGAGGGTAGAATGGGAACTTGGTTGCTTTGGTGAACTCCTGGAAGCGGTTACCAGAAGGAGGAACACAGTTCTGGGTATATCTGGGTAGATCCTGGTGGGTTGGTCTAGGGGTCTGTGGCCCTGGCCCTGTCTTCTGTTGTGATTTTCCGCAGCTCTGCTTCCCAGTTACCTTGAAACGAGCACCTTTGCTCTGTTGCATCCCTTTACCATGATGGTTTTGTTTGTGAGCCAGCCAGTCGTGGACTGAGTCCTCAGAACCTGAGGTCCCAATGAAATATTTCCTTCGTTAAACTGTGGGGTTAGTACTGTGTCTCAGTGTCTTGGTTACTTTTTTCTTGTTGCTGGGACAAAACACCCAACACCCTGAAATGAAGGAAAGAAAGTTTTATTTATCTATTTGTGGAGGTTTCAGTCCATAATCAGCTAACTCCAGGGCAAGGAGGGGAGCAGGGCACCAGGGTTATCCTTCCAGGCAGCAGTCAGTTAAAGCAGCCAGAGTAAAAAGCCAGGAAACAAGACTCTTTTCCTCCCCTATACTGCACACAGACCACCCCCACTGTAGGTTGGGTGTAGGGCTCACACCCTCTCCATGCTCTGCTCTTACACAGGCTCAGAATGTTTACAAATATGCTGGCTCCCTGCAGAGTCTTTTAGGTAACCTTCTTCGAAACTTCTTAAACTGACACAGTGTATCAACCGTAACACACAGATGTAAGGAAGCTAATTATTCAGCCTCCCTAAGTGCCACAGGTGTATGCCACCATGCCCTGTTTGTGCGGGGTTTTTTCCACTTGACTTTGTCAGGGCTGGGGATCAAATTTAGGGCCTTGAGGGCTGTAGGCAAGTGCTCTACTCGTGAACTGCCTCTCCTCCCCTGCTTCAAAGTTTCTGTGTACTTCTCCATTAACGTCCATGGAGGACTGTCTCCAGTACACACACATCCATCCTGCCAAAACTATCTGACTGCAGATGCTCTCTTCCCTTACACAAAATGATGCACTGTGTGCTGCCCCTATACACTTTCACTCCTCACTAGATTATTATAATGCCTGAACCAATGCAAGTGCTAGGGAAGTAGTTGTTATTCCACATTTTAGGGGGATAAAAAGGAAAAGAAATTTGGTCGTGGTCAGTTCAGGCACACTTTTTCCCCAAATATTTACAGTCTGGTTAGAGTTGCATCCACATGTTTTGAACCACAGACATGAAGAGGCTACAATTTGTAGAAAAACTGGTGATTGAGGAGCACTGTTGTCTTGTTTTCCAAGCCTTTGAAGGGGTTTAATAAAAACACAGAGCCTGAGGCAGCCCACTCGGAGATGGGTGTAGAGGAGTGCAGGAGAGAAAACTACAAAGAACTCCTGCATCTGGGGACAGCTCCAGCCCATCTCACCAGACCAGTCAGGACAGCCATCCCCCTCCATCAAGCCTCACCTTGCCCCTGCGGCTCTGAATACCCTTGAACCTCTGAGGCTGTCTGTCCTGAGGGTTGGAGGAGGTTGCAGGTGAAGCAGAGAGGGTGGAGCACAGACCTCAGCTAACAGAGCCTGCGAGGTGAGAGGAAAATTAGATGGAGAGCTGCTCCCAAGCCCTGCAGAGCTTCAGATCTTGAAAGCACCCATCTGGGGCCTGGATTGTTCCCCCAAGGTCGTCCGACCTTTGAAATTTTTGGTGTCCTCTTATCCCTCTGAGTAGCACGGGTGTCCCCGGGCCCTTCTCATCTGTCAGTGCAGTTTTGCCCCCACCATCACTTCATGCCCTGGATGAGATGCTTTCTTCTGGCCTGTGCCACAAGCCCCCAGTGGTTGGCTGAACAGCACCATGCACAAACATACCACACTCAGCCCCAGCTGCCACTGGCCAGGCTACCCACCCCCAGTATGGTCAACCCAATTGTCATCCTTCTGTCTTCTCAGACCCAACCCCTTAGGGCCATCTCTGAATCCTCTACCACTCTTCAACAAAGGAGCCCCTCCCCAATATCCCCAGCTGAAACTCAGCCTTGGTCTCTGGGGTGACCCTCCTCCCCTGCTCCCCTGGCCCTCCCCACCTGGGGTCAGAGCATGTGTGAAGCCTGGGGCACAGCCGGTCCCTCCCATGCCTTGCACCACGGTGCCCCCACTCCTGATTGCCCTGCAAGCTCTCTTGGCATGCTATCTTTGGACCCCTCTCTCTCCTGGATTCTTCTACTGTCACCACACTCAGTCCCATGGCCCTGACCTTCTGGGCTACTCCTACCTGAGTTATACCACCTGGCTCCTTGTCTCTGGTGACTGAACCTCTCCCACCCGGGTGTCTCCCAATATCTTCCTGCCAGGGCCTCCATGGTCACTTTGTTTAAAATGTCCTCTTTCCCTCCCATGCACACTGCTGTTTGCTTCTTACCATCTGTCAGTGCCACGTGTCTGGAGCTCAGCTTGTCTGGGGGCCTTGGGGCTCACTGTTAGCATTGTGGGACCAACAGAAGCATGGGTACTTGCACTGCTTCATACAGCCGGTGCTCCCTCCTGGCCTGCATGTGGAAAACCTGCAGATTGTGTGAGCCAGCAGCCCCTTCCTCTAGCCTGTACCTGTGTGTCCTGTAAGCCGCCCATCTGTTCCACTTGCGTTCTCTCATGCTTCCACACAGAAGGGGACATGGCTGGGCGTGGCGGAGCCATGGAGCTGCCAGTCTCCCTTGCTTCCTGGATTACTGCACTTAGTAGGGTGCAGGCATTGGACAGGGCTCATGAGAATGAAGAAAAAGAGGAGCTACATTGCAATCCAAATATTATATATTATAATCCAAATGCTGTATGCTGTAATCCAAATTTTATATATTATAATCCAAATATTGTAATTCCTTTTGTAGTCCTCCTCACAATGCAGAAAGATATATTTTAGTTCCACTGAAACCGAACTGGAATCTCAGCAAGTTAACACCCATCTACCACCTCCAATGCAACTCTTGGTGAGAGTAAAGACACTAAGTCCTAGTCTAAGTTATGGGCAGCCAAGGAATCCCAAGTCTGATCCAAGTGAGGATACACAGACAAAGCCCTTGATGTAAGGTCTCTCCCACAGTGTATTATCTCATGAAGAAAACAGTGGTCCACGGATGACTGACAGTGAGGATGGCAGGAACTACATGAGTAATTTTGTTTTACATGAGTACTTTGAGCTGGCTAGCCAGGTGGGGAGAAAAGCATCTTTGCAATATGCAAGGAGAATGATATGCAAAAGGACCAGTCTGCATAACCCAGTCAGGGTAGCATTTGAACACTTTGAGGAGGCCGTTGCTTTGGTCTCTGATATGTAAACTTTTTTACCCTGGGAGGTCACGGACTTTTATTTAGAGGCTCATACCCAGTAGACATCCTGGAGCTGACTGGTTCTGCCCTCCCACTGTGTTCAACTGTTTAACAGGGAACACAGTGTGAGGAAAATGTCACTTGGCCTTAAGGATTACATGTCAGTATCTTGGCTGCCCTTATTTGCATTGCTTAGAGCCAGTTGAAGGGTGATGGACATACCATAGCCAACTCTGTACATAGCAGGGCATGGCAACAAGACTCGGTTGAACTAATGCTGAAGCAATTGTTCTGCATTCAAGCGGAGCTGCTCAAATTGGCTCCTACAGGGGTGTCTAGATAGAGCCCCAGATCTGCCCTTACCAACTGAGAGGCACCAAGGGAACAACCTCCCCTCCTCAAACACAAGCAGTTATCAGGATTGGCAAAGACTTTTCAGGAGCATGGAGACTGTCCCAGGGACCATGTCATCCTGCCATACCTGTACCAGCCAGCACCATGACCTGGAATCAGAAGAAAGAAGCCTGGAAACAAGGCCAGGAGAAAACACTGCAGACACTCAGGTGGCTGAGCCATGGGAAGTGCAGATAGGAAGGCGCATTCTTTCATAATTCACACTCTATTCAGTTTCAGAGTGCATCCCATGAAAGTATATTCCTCTTATGATGGAAACAATAACTTCCTTCTGTGCTCTCCAGGCACTAAGCTCTGTTTGTTCAGTACTTGCAGTGGATGTGGGAGATGGCAGAGGCCTGGCACACCACAGTGGAGCAGGAGTTTTCTGCCCCTTTTCCACAGAGACTAAGGGAGCAGAGCCCCTGGCAGCCTCCGAGGCCAGGCATCCCAGACCCTGCTCCCCAGAAGCCAGCCCCTCCCCATCTGGATCCATGTGCTTACCTGCGTCCACATCTGCTATGCTCTGCCACATGGATGGTGGGTCCAGGGCTTTGCCTGGGGATGTGACCTGAGAGAGAGGGCCTGACAGTTGCAGCCCCTTCCCTGCCACCCCAGCCGACCACAGGCCTGGGTCGGGTGGGCTCAGCTCTGTCACCACAATGTATATCTTCTGGCCTAACCTGTTCCAGCCTCAGAGGTTTGAGATCACTGAGAACTGCAGCTCTGACCAAGACGAGATCTCTTATGGCCTGTGTGGCCATCGGATGCTGATGCACATGAATAATTTCCTTTGTGGGCATGGGGGTTACTGTCACTGGCATCAGGCATGGGAGGATCATGTCGGGTAGTGTGGGGCGTGTGTGTGTCACGGTACCTCCACATAGTCTGGAGAAAATCTTGCGTAGGCTTCCCAAAACTATCAGAATGAGCTTGTCAGGGACATCCTTCAGGCTGCACGTGGACAATGAGCTTCTGGCGGGTCAGAGCATCTCCTACCCCAGTCCTCTTGTCTGGTCCTTCTTCCTAGAATTTGGTCTGTGCCGCCTCTGATTCGACCCTGTCGTGCCCAGAATCAGCCCTGTCCTAGGCACAGTGTAGAACCTTGCTCCTGATGTCCCTGAGCTCCAGACCACATCCTTGTTGGGGCTATGCCTCTCAAACCAGGGGCAGGCCGGTCTAGCTCTCTTTTGGTTAGTAAACAATTTCTCACATCCTACCCTTCTATCAAATGCAACAGGAATGAATTAGTAGAAAACAATCTGAACTTGGCCATCCCAGCTGTGTACAGTTGTCATGGTAATGACCAAAAACCCCATCTATGCCCGCTGTGACTCTTGGGGAGCAGCTGACCTGGAGGGTGAACAGCTGATCCAGAGGGTGAGCCATCCTCCAAAGCACAAACAAGGATGTCACCTCGCCCACACTGTGCCCTCCTCCTGTCCTCCCTTACTGCCCTCTGGGATGGCTTCCTGTCCTCTGCCCTTTTATGATCCAGAATCTGGCATTTTTGCTTCCCCCGGCAACCTATCTGGTCTCTTACTTGCTTTCACTTTGCCCTCACCACTTACACTTGGAACAAGCAGCTCCCTCACTGTCACTCTGCTCCTACCTACATCAGCTGTCCCCTGTGACTGACAGGAATGCTTTCTGATTCCTGTGACTCTGCTGGAATAGATGGTCACCTTGGGGGAGGCCTTGTTGCGCCATGGCCCTCTTCCTGCACCAGACCTGAGCGCAGCTCACTGTGCATGATCCTCCCAGGACCCCTAGTGCTGGCTCCTGCAGCCACTTCCCTGTAGACCCTTGTGCCTTGCTCCAGCCACTTGAGACACTGCTCCTCTTCAGGGCCATCTCCCTGCCAAATCAATCAACATCTGGAGTCCAACCTTCATAGAGCACCCCACTAGAACTAGATCCTTCCTTTGTGGGTTTTCGGTAGATTTTTATTCTACAGAGTTCTCTGTGACTCCCCCGCCAGGGTGATCCTGATCTCCCCTTCCCATTTTGGATTATAAACTCCTTGCAGACAGTTGCAGTTCCTCCCCACCATCCCTCACATCACCTTGCCCACAAGATAGCTTAGCAGGAACTAGGTGCTTCAGAAACAAGCAATTCTCCCTAACTCATTCCTGGAAGCAAGTATTACTCTAGTACCAAAACCAGACAGAGACCCATCCATGAAAGAGAACTTCACACCAATCTCCTTCATGAACACAGATGCAAAAATTCTCAATAAAATACTGGCAAACAAAAGGCAGCAAATCATCAAGAAGATTATATACCACAACCAAGTGGGGCTCATCCAAGGAACACAGGGGTGGTTTGACATATGCAAATCAATAAATGTAACCAACTGTAGTAATAGACCCAAAACTAAGAATCACTTGATCATTTCTATAGATGCAGAAAAAGCTTTTGATAAGGTCCAACACTCATTCATGATAAGAACCACACAAAAATCAAAATGGATGGTCTTTACCTCCAGATGATAAAAGCCTTCTATGACAAAACAACAGCCACCATCATATTAAATGGCCAAAACCTGAAAGCTTTTACTCTAAAATCAGGAACAAGACAACGATGTCCACTATGACTCCTCCTATTCAATAGAGTGCTAGAAATACTACCCAGAGCAATTAGACAAGAGAGAGAAACAAAAAGAGGAAGGATAGGAAAAGAAGGAGTTAAATCATCATTCCTTTCAGATGACATGATACTCTCCATAAAGATCCCCAAAACTCCATTGCAAGACTCCTCGCTATAATAACTAAATACGGTCATGTAGCTAGATGCAAAATCAATAGCATTCCTATACACAAACAATAAACTCACTGAGAGAGAAATAAAAGAAGCCACTCCTTCACGGTAACATCCAAACAAATGAAATACTTAGCAATCAACCTAAGAAAAGAAGAAAAGTACTTATTCAGGGAAAAGTATAATACCCTGATAAAAGAAATTGAAAAGGATCTGAGAAACTGGAAAGACATTCCTTCTTCATGGATAGCTAGAACAAACACTGTAAAAATGGCCCTTCTCCCAAATTGTTAAACAGATTTAATGCAATCCCAATCAAAATGCTACTAGCACATCTCACAGGTCTACAGAAATCATTCTTAAAATTCATGTAGAACCAGAAAAGACCTAGAATAGCAAAGGTAATTATGGGTAACAAAGGCAAGGCAGAAGGGGTCACAGTCCCTGACTTGAAGTTACATTACAAAGCTGCTATCATAAAGTCAGCATGGTACTTCAATAAAAATAGACCTGAAGATCAACGGAATAGATTAGAAGATACATCTACAACTACAAACACAATCAGCCACCTTACCTTTGACAAGGGGACCAAACACGTTCAGTGGAACAAAGACAGCCTCATTAATAACTGATGCTAGAAAAACTGGCTCTCCGTATGCTGTAAACTAAAACTAGACCCTTACTTATCACCATGTACTAAACTACAGTAAAAATGGATCAAAGATCTAAATATTAAAACAAGCACTAAATCTGCTAAAAGACAGACTAGGTAGAAATCTTGAAGGTAGTGAAGAGAATTCATGAACAAAAATCAAACAGCATGGGAAGTACTTCCCAGAATCAATAACTGAGATCTCGTCTTATTAAAAGGTTTTTGCATGTCAAAAGAAATCTCAAAGTAAAAAAGAACTCTTGAATGATAAAAAAATCATAGTCAACTGTCCCTCAAACAAAGGATTTCTGTTTAGAGCATAAGAGGCCCCCAAAATACAAAGGCCCAATCCAAAAATGGGCATCTGAGATGAATACACACTTCTCAGATGAAGAAATACACATGGCAAATACAGACATGAAGAAATGCTCAGCATCATTGGTCATTAGAGAAATGCAAATTAAAACCACACTGAGAGCCCATCTCGCTCCAGAAAGAATGGCAAGGATGAAGAAAATTACCAGCAACAAATCCTGGAGAGGCTGTGCGGAAAAGGAACTCTCCTGCACTGTTGGTGGGAGTGTAGACTGGTGCACCTCTGTGGAGTCCAGATTGGAAGTTTCTCCAAAAGCTGGGATTGGAAGTCCCATTTGAACCAGCTATTCCACTT